TTCCAATTGCTTTGCCTCAATCTTTGATTATAGTGAAGAACTTTGTGTTATCCCTGAATGAATGTATGTGAAAACAGAAGGAAAAAAAACAGGAAATTTGAGTTGTTAAGAGCTGATTATATAGGAGGACTCCTATTTGCTTCCAAAGCCCATTTACTGAAAACTACCGAATGAACACGTAGATATAATTTATAAAACATGGCTATAACTGCCATCACTTAACATATCTTTTATTTTCCTTGTTGATATACTAACTTATTAATTTTGTTATCCTAATTCCTATGTCCTTCCCCATTCCATCTTCCTCATAACAAATACTATTCAAATTAAATGAAATCCTGAAGTAAAAAAGGAAGAATATCAGAAATAATGCCTGAATATAAGAAACCTAAGAGAGAGTGGGTTAAAAATAATACAGACGTAAAGTATAAAATATAATTCTAATTTATATGGTGGAAAAGAAAAATAGGGAAACCTACAACAGAAAAAGGACAGAAAATGTAAAAGAAACAAGAGTAAAAGAAACATCAGGAAAAAGATGAAACTCAATGATCGGAAAGATAAAAAGATACATATAATGTATATATATATGTGTGTATACACACATACACACACACATATACATACAGATCTAGCTATTTATCCGAAAAGGAGGAAATGGGCAAATGAAAAGGATAATATAAGAAACCAAAGCCAAACTAAATGGCAGCATAAAATAACCTTTAATTCCTTGTCTAACAGCTGAACCTCACTTTAGGGAACTCCATTTTACGGGTATAGCCTTCTAGGCTTTTGCATAGCAAAATAATAAATTTCTCCTTTTGCATTTTACTTAGAGAACCTGGTAAGTACAAATGCCATTATCAGTTAGAGAAGGCCATAGCCACCACTTGTCATCCTCGAGTTTATTTATTTTTTAAAGTTCATATTCTTTTTAATATAATTACTTGCCTAATATCCAAATTCATATTATTCTTCCATTTATGTATTCTTACAAAAAAAAATAAAACATATACACAAAGGACAGTTCTCCCTTGGCTGTCCTTTTCTTGGATTTTTTTTCCCATTTGTATATAGCAGTTACTAGCTCCTTGTGACACACAAATTAGTAATAGCAGAATCCTCCTTTGGGAGAGAAAATGTGACTCTCTCAATAAAGAAAATCACAAGGTAGTGGGTTTGATCTCAATCTTCAGTGCAGGCTGAAGATAATGGGCAGCTGGCTTGAGATGGAAAGTAAAGTAAGAAAGGGAAGTGACTAAACAAATGGATGTAGAGACCAGATATAAAATATCTATCAAAACCAAATATAATTAATTCCTTACTTTAGTAGAAATGAACAAAAGCAGTAATGCTACATTTTTAAACGCTAGAAAGATTATTTTTGTTTTTAAAAGAGTAAGGTGACTTTAATTGTGAGGAAAAGTATCTATTTAGAGGCCACGTATGGAATTAAACGTGGAGTCTCATGGAACCGGACATCATAAGACGTTCAAAACCTATGTCAAAGGCAACACAATGATTACTCTCTTTACTATGCAAGACCAAATTTCAGAAGAGATCTTCGAATAAGAATATAATATACTGAATGGACCACTGACTCAAACTGGAGGATGAGGATTCAAATCCCATTTCTAATACTATGTTTTGACAAGTCATTTCAACGCCCTCTCTAGCCCTCAGTTTCCACATCTGTAAGGTGAGGAAGCTGGACTAGATCTAGGCTTCTGGGGTCCCTTGCAGTCCTAGACCTAGGATCCTATAAGCTATCTGAAATACCAGGAAGTGGTTTGATGTTTTTATGAAAATTAACAACAAACATTTCTTCAGTTTCACCTTGCCCTGGAAAGGCATCAATTAGCTACACAGTCTTTGTCCCATTCTCCAGTGACCAAACTGCTGAGACAAAATGGTATACAAATGCTTGGGGATTACTCATGAAGAAAGGCTCAATGCGACATATTTTATTAGAACTATTATCATCTACTGTGCATGTCTAACCCTCAAAGGTACTTGGGCCCCTTCCTCCATAAGGAGGCTTTACATGTCACTCTCCCCTCCTGACAGAGTACTCTTATTAAAAACGCTGGCCATATTTCACTCCATTAAGAGATGAAATTTTTTTTACCCACAAGATCGAACATAATCTAAACTTTAGGATGAGGAAAACAAACACAAAAAACCCCCAACATAAAACCCTTTATATCCACTAGAGGGAATAAAAAATCTGAATTCAGGTCACTCTCATCCTTGCAAGTCTCCGAGAGACTACGATAAGAAACTGTATTTAAAGATTTACTTAATTGTATTTCAGAACAAAACAAAACAAAAACCTAAATGCATTCCTTTCCTTTACATCTTATTTTATGAACTTGGGAAGATTTTATCTTGTTACATGAAATATCTTGGACATTTTTTTGGGAGGAGGAGTGGGGTTCAGATGAATATTCTCACATCATATAGAAAAACACAAACCAATTGTAAACCATCATTCTGTTTGCTTCATATCTTCTATTTTGAACACCCATATATCACATTAAAAAAAATCTAACCATGAAAAGTTTTTTATAGAAACAACAAAAAATGGAGACATAAAATTAATCCTTGGAAGAGTGCATATAAAGGCTTCTTTGTGTGTGCAGCTTTTCCCTCTATTACTGGTTAACGAAAGAACTTGCCTGAAACATCAAAGACTAACCTAACTCCACTCTGCCCAGAAAAAACAAGGGCACCACATTTCACACCTTGTATTGTTGCTACAAAGTACTAGATTTTTAAAGCCAGTGATCCCAATGCATTTGAAAACTGCCAGGTTGAAGCTTGAGTACCTTGGAATTTTCAATATCACATCCAGAACAATGTGCTTTGTGGATATTCAAGAACAGCACAATGCCCATACTAAGGCAAGACATCATAGAAGTTGGCAGCCATGTTATCAGCAAGAATTTGGCTACAGAATTAGCAATGATTCATCATACATTCTAGAAGGAGCAAAACAACATACCGTACTATTTTAATCCCTTGATTCTATCATGGATCAAAAACAGGAAAAATAAGAAAATGCAAAATATATGCATATGAATTTCCAATGCATGGGTTAACATTTTCAACTTTGTGTAAGTTACCATGCAAGTTTTAAGATTTTGTTTCTTTTTAAAAAAAGTCAAAACCCAATACATTACTTACCTTTCTATTATATATTATATAATTATATATAACTTATTGTGTGGTTCCCCTGTAAAACAGGCAACCCAAACGTCTGCACATCAAAGTGTTCTAATTTCTGCTTTAAGGCAGCCAACTTTTCACTTACTATAGAGTAAAAAAAATTTCCTCTAGTGCTCCCAAAGTTTACAAAATTATTTAACTTTTTCCTGAACTCAACCTTAGAAAAATTATTGAAAACACACATTAGAAGTGTGCGCTTTAACAGTGCCAACAATGCCTTCACAGTCCTCATATGCACACTCTAGATGTATCTATCACAATATACTACTTTTGGATATTATTCTTAAGCATTTTTTTCCTTCAAAATTTATTTTAACACTATAAGATCCAACATAATTATGTGAAAAAATAACTGCGGAAAACAAGTTATGTGCTACTGCAGAGCCTCATTAAGATTGCTACATTCCTCCCAGTCCCCTCCCCCCAAGATATTCAGAAGGCTCTATTAAAAAACAGGAAATTAATGATTATCAGGACTCACAGTCGATAAGTCCCAGAGAAACAGCCTCACAAATTAAAAGTATTCTGCATTTTAAGTTTAGTTGAGCCAAGTGCTTCTTCCCTGCAGTGCCCATCATAGGGAGGAAGTTGAGGACAGATCTGATTACTAATTTATTCCATGGCAGTCATGATACAAGACCCCTACCTTTTCAAAAACTTCTTCAGTCTCCCTCCTTCTTCTTTTCCTGGCTCTTAGATTTACCCGGATCCATTTTGTGACCTGAAGTTCAAAAACCATAGTGCTTTTTTAAAAAAAAGGAATGCGGGACCTGAGGGCCACCGCTCAGCATGAGTAAGAAAGTATAAACAGACTTCGAGCCCCATTTTTCCACTGCTTCACCGGTGAAGGACACGCACTGTTCCAGCCTGGAGAGACGCTTTTAGCGGAATAGTCACTTGACTTGTGTCCCTTTCCTCTCCCACCTCCCCCTAACACTGAAATTGTCTTTTCTGCCCCCAAAGAATGGAAACTCTGAGTTCAGCGTTAAGTTATAAGAGAAGCTTCGGTATACTTGGCAAAAGTATAGGGGTGGGGGGAAAGAAGAGACTCAGGGCTCTTTCACTTCTGACCCAGGGCTCAGATTTATTAATCTGCTCACTGGCTCTTCCGCAATTGAGTCCCCCTCCCCCAAGAAAAGCAGCATCTTAATCACTGCCGATCTTCATTAAGTTAACCCTGGAACACTGTCAGAAGCAGCCCCGGGAGGGGGGGTATCCATTTCAGGGTGCCACCCCCGCCGCACCAGAAATGCGGGATGGGATACGAGAAGGCGCAGGGGAGGAGGGCGAGAGGATGCCCGTGGGAAACCGGCTTGACGCCGCGCACGAAGGCAGCTTTTCCTCTCACCTCATCATTTACTTGCTGAACGAGCCGACTCTCCGCCCAAGTCTGAGTTTCTCCTTGCAATGGCTAACGGGAAGAAGAAAAAAAAAAGTAAAACAAAGTGCAAGTTTATAGAGGTTGCAGTAGCCACGCGGAGCTGGAGCGGGGGATCCCCACGTCTGACACTCTCCACCCCTCACCCCTTTTTCCAAAGCCCCATCATCTGCCTGCTTCTCAGACTCTCTCTCCTTCCACCCTGTATACCCTCCCCCAGCCTATCTAAGGAGCCTGCAGCGCTCGGGGCTCACTGGCGTCTCCCCCGCTTCCCCTACCGCACCCCAAAGCTCCCTGGGCACCGCGCGCGCCTGGCCCCTTACCTCGCCGCTGCCCCGGCGCAGCCCGTACCCCGCGCGCAGCCCATGGCGCACGCGGTTCAGGTTGTAGTGGGTTGGGTATTTTCTTTCTTTCTTTTTCTTTTTTTGGGGGGGGTGGTGGTGGATGGAGGCGGGGAGAAGGGCTTGGCATCGGCTCTCCTGGGCTCAGCCCCCTCCCCTCCGGTCTACAGTCTCGGAGGCGGGGACGGAGCGGCGCCGGCCGTACCCCCATCTCGGCCGGCGCTGAGCAGTAGCAGGGGCTCCTTCGGAAATGAAACACCTAAAGGGACTGGGGCGGGGGCGAGGACGGAGGGGGGGCCCGGTGCTCGAAGATGAGGAGGAGGCAAGGGAGGAGCCTGCCTTAAAGGTATAGAGGCTGCCTTGGTGGGGTGTCCCCACCCCTGTCTTTTTTCTTTCTTTCTTTCTCCCAGTCCCTCCCACCACCTCGGAATACAGGTTCCCTCCAGCCTAAGGACTGAGGCTCTCTCTGGGTCTCTCGCGCTTCCATAGTCTCCCCACTTCACCGCAACCCTAGATCTTTCACTACCAGGCAGAGGAAAAATTACTGTCTGTCCCACGTACTGGGGTTTACAGACGGCCCCAAACACTTAGATGTCTATGTTTAGGTCAAAAACTAGTTTACAAACTTCGGTCATAGAGATTAAGGGGCCTTCTAATGGAGTTTTCTCCAGGAATGAACTAGAACACGTTGAATATTAATTTAAGACTTTTTCCAGTAGCCCCTTGACCTCTAAGGAATCCAGAATAATGGCAGGTGAGTTCCCAGGGGGAATGATGAAGTGCATTTTAAAGGCTGAGAAGCTAGTTTGCCTTCTGCTTACCACCTGGGTCGTTTACATTACTTATTGCATCTCGGAAACCGCCCTTAATGAACTCCAGACATTCGTTAAATGCAGGTTGACCAGGAAAGGCCGTGTTTGATTTGAGCACTAAAGTGACCCAACTTTCTAGCTGCTGCTGCAAATTTGGATACAGTCTACATTAAAAAACAACATCAACAAGGACCCTTAAGGTAACTGTAGCTGATAAAAGAGACAGTCAAAATATATATTTTTCATATTTAGGGGGAAAAAAGTTGGCACTGGGTATATAAAACTTTTCCGTATGCTAGTTGTTTTCCTACCATGAAATAGTTTTGCTTCATTACTTGAGTTTTGTTATATTAGCGCTAGAGTTCTGTATATATGAAACATAATGGTGACATCACTAGAAGTCACATGGGGGGTCAGGGAAGAGGTAGGTCAAATTTGTGCGTGCTAATCTTGACAGTATCCCTTTAACTTTATCACATTTCTCTAAAGAAAATCTCTTACCCCTCCCCCCCTTTTTTTTTTTATTACTACAACATCTTTCTTTCAAGATCAAAAGCCTTAGATCAAAGCCAAGATCAAACTCCCTGCTTTAAATAGAAGCAACATTGCCATGAAGTAGTTTACACAAAGAAGTTCTTAATGGAGACATCACAGTAGAAAATCTTATTTCATCCCTTTAGTTCATATTCACAACAGGACTACTTAAAAGTACATTCATGATGCAGTTCTATCATGAAAATATACAACAGACCTGCCCAGAGGGGTAGCATTTTACTTAGTATTTCTGTTTCCAGGAAGAAAAAAAAATGCTAAATGCTTCTAGAATGATATGAAGTAGTTTTTAAACCACCTCACATGACTTTAATTATACACTGCTAGGAATATTATTATTTCAATTCTATTGCTAGTAATATGGGAAAGGAACAAGCATTTATTAAGCATCTACTCTACCAGGCATTGTGCTAACAGCTTTTAAAAATATGATCTCATTTCATCCTCACAACAACCCTGTAAGGTAGGGACTTATTACTATCCCCATTTTAACACTGAGGAAACCCAGGTAAGGGTTAAGTGACCTACCTAGAGACGCATAGCTAGTGTGTGACACTTTTCTGAGGCTGGGATTTGAACTCAGGTTGTCCTGAGTCCAGGCCTGGTTTAGCCCAGGGCACTAATAGTTTTAAAAGAGATCAGCTTTATTAACAGTTAACTTTTGAGTCATAGATTTAGAGCTGAAAATAACCTTAGGAAAGTGAAACCCAGAAAAATTAAGTGACTTGTCCAGTGTCTTACAGGCTACTTGCTAAACAATCTGGTCCTAGTCCTCTGACCACAAAACTAGCATTTGTTAGACAGTGATTGATTAAGTGCTTTGGCAATACTAAAAAAGGCAAAAATTCAGTTTCTGCCCTCAAAGAACTGCCATGCTGAATCATATAGATTATTTTGTCCAGTGGGAGGAAAGAGTTAAAAATAATTAATTTGCAAAAATATAAGCACTCCCAATACATACACTTGGGCCAGTAAAACATTACAAACAATGAGGAACATCTTTGTATAACTGGAAAGCTACTTAATTTTAAATGGAGAGAGAACTCTTAAGCACTTAGGCTTCTAAGACTACTTATGACAGCTCAGGATCAATAGAAATCTATTATTGGCACACATTTCCCCACTACAGTTTCTTCTCTGACTTCAGCTAGACCTCCGAATTCCAATGTTGAATGATTCAGTATTGATATACTAAGATGCTTCCATACAAACATACACCCATTTTCCACTTAAATGCCCTATGCTTTTGACCCATCAACATTTTTTAAGTAGAAAGAATAAGAGAGAAAAGCATATGACAGGAGCCAAAGTAATTACTGCAAATTAATCTTACAAGTGATTCTAAAAATAACTGGAGGATGCAGCTAGTTACATCTTGTTGGGCTTTTCCTTGTCAGGTATTTGTTCCAAATCTAGTTTCATTCTCAAAATGTAACACTCAGGTTCATATAGACAAGGCTAGCTTCAGTATTTATCAAAGAGTAACAGTGAAGTTATTAGAATTGGAATTTGAGAACTGGGCTATTTTACCTTATCCTCTATTGTTACTTTGTTCACCCTTTCTCAGTGATATCCAAAATGTTTTGATTGTATACCCCTATCAGTAAAAGTTTTTGAGCACTCATTTCCCCAATATTTGCATATAATTTCTAAATAATATATATGCTTTTGTCCTTATATATTATACACCTTAGAAAACATGCAAAATAGAAAATTCAGGATGAACTAAAGATAAAATAAAACAATAATTTAAAGTTATTGTTACTATAAAAACCCTTTGCTATTGCTTAAATATTAATAATCAATAAGGATTATGTTATGAACAAGTAACAATGACAGTTGGTATTGTTCATATTTAAGTGAGAGAGATAATTGAATATGCTTCATTATTTTTGAAAAAATCATACTGAATGTCCTGAGGGACAGAAAAGACAAATAATTGCTAGTAATTAAAATGGGGATAACAGCACCTACCTTAGAGAGCTGTTGTACCAAATAAGAAAATATGCATAAAGTGCTTTGTAAAACTTAAAGTACTATACAAATTTATTTTATTCATTTAATTTATTTTTCTTTACATTTTAAGTTTCAAGCTGTCTCCCTCCCTCTCCACCAGACATTAGAGAAGGCCATCATTTGACACAGATACAGATATAGATCTATCTATGTAAAACCATACCTTACATACTTCTGTTTATCAATTCTTTCTCTGGAGTCTTTTGATTTGTAAGTCCAGTTAGTTTGAATATTTATAATATTCAGGACAGCTTAGTCATTTGCAGTTATTCTTCAAACAACATTACTGTTACCATATCCAACATTCTCTTCGTTCTGCTCATTTCACTTCATTATTTCATGCCCGTCTTTCCAAGTTTTTCTAAAATCAAACTGCTTATCATTTCTTATAGCACAGTAGTATTCCATCATAATCATATACTACAATTTGTTTAACCATTCCCCAGTAAATGGACAATTCCTCAATTTCCAGTTCTTTGACACAGGCCTCTAAATATTTTAGAACATATAATTTCTTTTCCTTTTTCCTTAATCAACTTGGGAAACAGACCTAACAGTAGTATTGCTGGGTCAAAGGGTATACAATTTTATAATTCTTGGGGCATAATTCCAGATTGCTCTCCAAAATGGTTGGATCAGTTCACAGTTCTACCAACAATACAATAGTGTCCCAATTTTTCCACATCTCCTCCAGCATTTGTCATTTTAGTCAATCTGATAGGTGTGAGATATCTCAGATATCTCTTGTTTTAACTTGCATTTCTCTAATCAATAATGATTTAGAGAATTTTTATATCACTATATATGTTAGATTTCTTCATCCAGAAGCTACCTGTTCATATCCTTTGACCATTTATCAATTGGGGAATGACTCATATTCTTATAAATTTAACAAAGTTCTTTACATATGTGAGACATCAGGGCTTTATCTGTGAAAGTGTCTATAAAATTTCCCCCCGTTTTCTGGTTTCCTTCTAATCTTGGCTACGTTGATTTTATTTGTACAAAACTTTTTTAGCTTAATGTAATTAAAACAAATTTTAGCTATTATATGATGAGCTAACCAAACAGGCAAATTTATTTTTTTGTTGAAAAATACACAATACCAAAATTTTTTGAGCTATATAATAGTTTTAATTGAAAGATATACAACAACCAAATAATAGGTTATAAGTCAGTGAACATAACAGCTTTTCAGCAGGAGTCATGTTTCTCTCTATGTAGATATTCACCATATACAACACAAAAACAAGCATAGGTGAATTATCTCTGATTCTAGCTCAGCAGAAGGTTTTCAAAAGAAATACATTCCTTGTTCTTTATGGATAGTATCATACCTTAATTTCTTATTCATGTTTGGATCATTTAGCCATGTTTTCGTATGAGTGGGAGGAACAGAAATAAGGCAAGTTTGGACCACAGAGTTCAGGAAGAGGTGTAAGGGTACAATAAGTCTAAAAGGCTTTAAGTGCCAAATGGAGGACTTTAGATTTGATCCTAGAGCCAACAGAAAACCACTGGAGTTAATTTTACGTAGAGGGTGACACGGTCAGAACTGCACTTTGGAAGATTAATGGAGAATGTACTTCAGTGGAAAGAGAATAGAGGCAAGGAGATTAGTTATCAGGTTACTGAAAGAGTCTAAGCAAGAGGTGATTTAAGCTTGATTTGGTCTGTTTGAGTGGGGAAAAAGACAGAGATTGAGAGTGTTACAGATATAGAAATGACAAGCAACTGCTTATGTTGTTCATGTTGAGTATATGCAAGTGATGAGAGAAGGATGACACTGAAGTTGTGAATTTGGGTGACAGGAAGATCTGTGATGCTCTCAAGAGAAAAAGGGAAGTTTAAAACTAGGATGAGTTCGAAGCAAAAGCTAATGTAATGAGATCTGCAATGGAGATGGCAACCCAGCCATATATTCTCATCTTTACAACTTTTCTGTCCCACCCAAAATAAAAAGGGGGGGGGGGAAGGAGGACTTTTACAGATCACTATTCCTGAGCATAGACCTTGTGGTGGGGCACCTGCCTACCCAGGTGAGCTATGAAGCATGGGAGAGGATTTTCTCAATTGTACCAGCACAGCTCCTGCTGTGTCCACTGTGGGGACTAGCCAATGCCAGTGGCAGAAGAGGAGGAGACTGTAAACTCCAGAAGCAAGCAGGGTGGGGGGAATGTTGGGTGATAATGAGTGAAGAGTAGGTATGGTTATGTTGGGGACAAACCCAGTGATTGGCTTTTAGGGGGAGGATGGGATGCAACCCATTTTCCTACTCTCCAGCTATTTTATCGCATAACCACTTGGGGTCACACCACAAGCCATGCTCATTTTACCAACCTTAAGAACCTGATTATTTCTTAAAATGAGAAACAAAGGAAAGATGTCATAGTAATTCTACTATTCTGTAAAATGGGGAAGTAGGATTAGGTGACCTCTAATACTTTGAACCAATGCTAGCATTTGTGTGTGTGGTGAGTGCTAAGAGAGATCATATGAAACTTCAGTGTGGTTCTGAGATGGAAATGTTGTAGACTCACAGCTCTAACAATTTCTTTGGATAGCTGGTAGGAAACTTTTAACTTATGTGGTGCTATTTTTTCCTAAGTATTATGAGAGAACTAACAGTATTTAGAAGGCTCCAGAATAGTAGAGCTCAAGCAGTATAATTTGTATCTATCCAGACATACATACAGATGGATAGACAGTCATTAAGTATTTATTAAGAGCACCGTGCTAAGTGCTGGGGAGTACAAAGAGAGGCGAAAGACAGTTCTTGCTCTCCAGAAGCTCACAGGCTAATGGGGGAGACAATATGCAAATAACTGTCTATGTACAAATAAGCTGTATACAAGATAAATTGTGAATAATCAATGGAAGGAAACACTACAATTGAGAGAGACTGGGAAAGGCTTCTTGTAGAAGGTGAGATTTTTAGCTGGCACTTAACCAGGGAAGCCGGGGGAGGGGGTGGAGATGAGGAGGGAAAACATTCTAGGCTTGGGGGTCATCCTGTGAAGATGGAGAGTTTTGTTCCAGGAATAACAAGACAGGTGGGGTCACAATACTGAGGAGTAGGTGGGAGGGAAAAAGGTGTAAGAAGACTGGAAAGGTGGGGCCAGGGGCTGGGCTATGAAGGGGTTTGAACACCAAATCATATATGATAGAGAGAAAGACAGAGAGAGAGGAAAAGAGGTAATAGGTTGGAGTAGAATAAACAATGGTCTTGGAGTCATAAGACCTGAGTCTAAATCTTGAGCAAGTCATTTCACTTCTATTTTCTCATCTACACAATGGTGGAAATGCCTGCCCTGCTTACCTTGCAGGATTGTATAAGGACAGCACTTCATAAATCTTAAGCAGTATAGAAATGAGGACTATTACTTGTATTGTGTCTTTTTCACCAAAGCTCTTGAAGAACCTTATAATATTATTCCCATAGCTATTCTTGGCAAATTATTAGATAGAGAGATAGATGAAAAACCAGGAACAGAGTAGGCTGATAGGATAATGGATTTAGAGTTGGAAGACACCTTAAAGGATCAACAAGACCAACCCCTTCATTTTATAGATGAAGAAACTGAGAACCAGAGACGGCAAGCAGCTGACCTACGATCACACGGAAAGTATCTGGGGTACAATTTAAATACCCCTGTCCCTCCAAAGAGGGGGAAGAACAACAAATAAAACCAAAGGGTCCTAATTTTCCATGCATTAAACACATTTTACAAATAAGGAATTTATAAATTTTTTAAAAATTTACCATGCTGACTAGAAATAAAGCATATGAAGTCACCATAGCCTTCACATTGCTTCAAATAACTATCAAGAAAGTGGGGGTGGGGCAGGTAGGTGGTGCAGTAGATAGAGCACTGGCCCTGGAGCCAAGAGGACCTGAGTTCAAATGTAACCTCAGATACATAACACTTACTAGCTGTGTGACCCTAGGCAAGTCAATTAACCCCATTGCCTAACCAAAAAAAAAAAAGTAGGGGGAAGTAATTGTATATAATGCTGCAATAAATGTATCCCCTGCTTCATGACATTATGTAATTGGCCACCAAAATATCAATAATGCATTCCCCAGTGTTCCATCAGTGAAGGGATTTAATTTTCATGATCATACCAATAGTATATTTAACCTCCAAACTTACTTCTATATATTTTTTCACTCAGGAAAATGCATCAGCCCTTTGTACCTCTTAATTCTTTAAAATGGAGTCATTTTGTTTTTCCCCTCAAGGTAATATAATTAGCTGTTTTTAACACACATCACATTTCTATTAAGTGAATGCATTCTTAAACAGTAACTGTCACAAGTGTCTAGAAGCTAAATGTTACACTGAGATAGTATTAAAAGTTAAGACATTAGTATGATTAATAGGGTATGTTATACAAAGGCTGGAAAATAATTTTCCCACTAAGCTTAGCACTAGACAAGCATCTATTTTGCTGTGTACATTACATTTCAAAACATTTAAATTCTTCCTGATATCATTTAAATCCATTTACTCTAGTACTGACTTCACTGGAGATGGAATGTTGAAAAACTAGGAGGAAAGAGTAAATTAATTGGAATTAATTATTTTAAGGTGGGAAATTTAACAACTGTTTTCCAGCAGGATGAAGTCACTTGAAATATCTAATAATATTATGTATTCTGTTTGTATTACTGTTTTAGAATGCTTTATTCTGGTAGAGATATGTTATAAAGAAACTGGCTCTAAGGAATTTTCTTGCTAAAGTAGTCCCTGTATAGTCAAGGCAGTTTGTAAAAAAGCAAAAAAAAAAAAAGAAAAAAAAGCCCTTTCAGTTGCTAGGAGCAACTGTAAATGCTAAGAGCAGAGCACTGAATTAAAATTTTAGGCAGTACTTTGTAGAATAGCTAGCAGCCAGAGATTGCAGCTGAAGGAAGGGAGGTGGGAGGAGAGATGTTCCCTCTTTTAAAATAGAGCATAAAATTATCCTTTTCTGATTGGAAAAAAGTCATTCAGGTTTCACTCCGTTGGCAGAGGGATGAAGTTTTGTGCTTTGTGTGCTCTCTCTCTCTCTCTCTCTCTCTCTCTCTCTCTCTCTCAATCTCTGCTTCTACTTCTAAAACATGGATGGGAGCAAATTCCTGGAAGTCTGAGGAAATGGCAGAAATTTCTACGTAGTAAAGATTCCAGAAGGGCAGGATAAGGTCATTCCTTTAATTAACTTGAACAGCCTAAGCAGGTAAAAAGATCTTCTACGGCCAAGAAAGAGAGAGGCTGACAGCTGTGAAAAGCTCAAAGGATGCTTTTATTCCAAGCTGGCCTGGGGTCCCAAGCACTTATCCCCAGGAGGGATCCAATTCCAAGATGACAACATTGTACTTACATAATGCTTTGCAATTTACAAAGCATTTTTCTTACAATAACGTTGTGAGTGAGATAGAATATGGATATATCAGTATTCCCATTTCATATATTTGGAGACTGAGGCTTATGGAGTTAAAATTACTTTGCCAGCAGTCACACAGCTTAATAAGCAACTTGGGACTTGAACTTGGGTCCTTTGATTCCAAGGTCAGTACTTTTTACATCACTAAAATTGCCTCTGATTCAGGGTGAGTTTGAAGAGAATTTTCTAATCGGGATTGGAGATAAGACTGGAGTTGGAATATTATTATTACAAGACCAGTTATAATTCATAGTTAAGGATGGGGGAGAAAGGTATCAAATTCCATTTGGTTGCTCATTTCTTTAAATACTCTTTTCTCTTGTCATTTTGAAAGTAATACTCCTTAAAAATGTCATATTATGGTGTTTTAAGAAAGATATCTATTTCTGACTCATCCTCCTGGATCCCCCAAAAGGAGGGAAATATGGAAAAGTCAGTTCCAATTCTGCTGATTAAAGGTATCAGGTTGAAGTATGGTGGTTTAGATCATATGATCAAGACCCCTACCACCACCTGGTGGCAGTGTACCTTAATTGTATATACAGTATCTTGGAGGAGAAAATAATTTACCAAAATTAAATCTATACAGGTGTTCATTTAAACTGATGATAGCAAACATCACAAAATATTATTTTAATAAAAGCATTAATTGGATATTTCATTTCCATTGAGCTCAAACTAAGGGAAATGGGCTTAAACTACTACAAAAAGTAAGTACTACAAAAGTTTAGGTTACTGGAATATGGACTTCTAAATGAAATCTCAGAATATTAGAACACAGAGGCATTTGTAGAAGTTTAAATTACTTTTGAAACAAGTAAAGAGAATAGTGGAAGCACATTTCATAAAATGTTAAAACTGGTGATGATCACAGAGATTGTCTAATCCAGGCCCCTCTCAGCCCTCCCCTTCGCCCCTTCGCCGTATATGTATAGAGATGAATGCAAAAACAAATTTAATCTTAATATGAACATATATAACTGTGTATGTGTATATATACACATTTATTTTATATGTGTGTATATATGTGTGTATATGTATATGTGTATATATGTATATATGTGTATATATGTCAACATTAATACTTAATGTATTTTGCTAGGTGGTGTTGTTCAGTCATGTCTGACTCTTTGTGCCCTCATTTGGGGTTTTCTTGGCAAAGATAATGGAGTGGTTTGCCATTCCTTCTCTAGCTCATTTTACAGATGAGGAAGCTGAGGCAAACAAGGTTAAGAGACTTGCTGAGGGCCATACAGCTAGTAAGTGCCTGAGGCCAGGCCCAGCTCTCTGTCCATATAGCTATCCAAGATGTTAGAGAACATCTTTCTATGTCTGTTATCTGGGCTAGTTAGCAGAATGGGCATGAACATGGTACTTAAGATACAAAACTCTATCTCCAGCTATAGTTAAGAACCTTTGCCATATTTCCAAGAAAATCCTGTGTGTGTTCTTAAAGGAGGTAGGGTATGTAGGAAAGTGAACATATGTATGTAATTCCATGTGCCTTTTAAAGACCTGGCATCTTTGTTCCTAAAAACTTTGAAACTTGGGCTGGGATGCTGTTTAGTTTCCCAAATGTCCCTATTATAGTCACTCTTCTGCAATGCAAAAGGAATGGGCCCTTGCTTTCTGAAACAACACGGGTGTTTTTATGGAAGTGAGATAAAAAATATATATATCAAAAAGGGCCTGAAAGCAATCATTGTGAGCAGTGTTTCACAAATTTAAAGATCATATCTATATCTATATCTATATCTATATCTATATCTATATCTATACACACGCACACACACATATATGTATATATATATGCATTATATGTATACATGCATACACATATATGTTTTCCAGAAAGTTTATTCATAAAAGATTTCACTCTATATACAGTTGGCCAAAGAAAACAATGGGTTGGGCAAGAATTAATTGGCTGCAAATCTCTTTCCTTTTTGTAGGGTGTTTTCTCAAGCAGTGGATTAAATCAATGCTTAATGCTATGCAAGCCCAGCTGTGTCCATATTAGGAGAGTCTGATCTCACATCTCTCTGCGGAAAAAAAGGACCAGGATGTCCTCCCTCTCTTTGCTATGTTTCCACCCCCAACATATGTAGGTGGGAGAGTGGGAGCCTGGGAATGTGAACTTGATCCAGCATTGATCAGCCAAGCAGCAAACTCTTATTGTTCTTTAGATACCAAACATTAACTCCTTTCTACTAGGGATAAGCCCAGCTATTTTGTACATAACATAACTTTTGTACTCAGCAGTACGCTTAAGAAGGAAAAGAACCAAAAGACTATATCTGACTTGTTATAAACAACACATCTGATGTGCAGATATCAGAGACACTTAAAACCAGTTTATGAATTCATTTTTCTTTTTACAATGGCTAATTCCAATCCATAGGGTCAGTATAGGGATTTATCTTAATTTTTTTTAAACTAAAGATGCTTCTATCTAGCATTTCTTAGGTCTACTACATTTCTTTTACTTACCTTTACTCTGGCGTCTAAGAACATTGGAAACCATGTTAATATTACATTGGCCACAGCTGTTAAAACCATTTAAAAGTATATATTCACTGTTTAATCACAGACTAAGTAGAGATTGGAACTGTTTTAGCCAGTACTAGCTTAGGTGCTGTAGGCATAAGTAAACTTAAAAAGATCACCAAATAATCAAAGCTGTAACCTCATACTAAAAATGCTTCACCCATCAATGACACAAAACACATGGTGTCAGACAAACCAATGGCAAACAATGGGCACCTGCAGCTCTTCAAATAAAGATGTGCACAAGGGCACTCTCCCAACAACGACTGCATGGCAGAATAAAGCGGATTCTTTTGGTTAGGTGCTTCACAAAGAGGGACACTTGGTTGACAGCACCATCTCCAAATATCACAACTCTTCTGTGACAGAAAGGCTAGAAACTGCAATTTGATATTTGGCCACCACATTCCTAATGGGCCTCATTTCCAGGTGTCAGCGGTAGCAAGAACAAGAACCACAACACAAGGAAAATGTAGTTGAGATGTTTTTACATTTATTTTATATCCCATAGACTAAAGGAAAGACAATTAATCAAAAAACATAATCCAATGGATTACTGTACAACCTATGTACTCTTCTTTTGAGAGATTAGCAGCTTATTTAATCAGAATCAGATGTATCAAATACAGGTTGCTATTTTCTAATTATAAAATAAATGAGGATGAACAAGAACAGAAGTTTAAAGAAATGAAGCCCACTGAAAATACAAGAAAGACTGAATTTATGAAGAAAATTCCAAGATGGAGATGTAACTTCAGGCTATTAAAAATAATGAAGTAATCATAATGATGATGATGATGGCTAACTTTTATATAGTGCTTTGAGGTTTGCAAAGCAGTTTACACGTGTTAATTCATTTGATCTTCACAACAATTCTGTGAAATGAGTGGTATCATTATTCCCATTTTACAGATGAGGGTCAGTGATTTGCCTAGGTTCATGCCCTATCAAGGGGGTCTGAAGCAGGATTCAAACTCGGGTCTTCCTGACTCCAAGGCCTGTGTTCTAAACTTATATTTATGATTCTGAAGGGAAAAAAATTTTAAAAGAAAAAATATACACAGTAACAGCCATATTGTGCAATGATTGACTTAGATAGACTTAGCTCTTCTCAGCAATACAAGGATCTAAGACAATTCCAAAAAACTCACAATGAAAAATGCTATCCACATCCAGAGAAGAACTATGGTGTCTGAATGCATATGGAAACATACTATTTGCTCTCTTTTTCTTCTGTTGTTTTGTTTCTTCTTTCACATGGTTCCTCCCATTAGTTCTAATTCTTTACATCATGACTAATGTGAAAATATGTTTTATATGAATGTATAAGCAAAACCTATATCATATTGCAGGCCATCTTGGGGGGGTGGAGAAGGAGGGAGAGAAAATTTAAAACTCACAATCTTATGGAAATGAATGTTGAAAACTAAGAATTAATTAATTATAAAAAAAGAAAGAAAAAAATAGCAAAAAAGTGCTTTGGAACTTGGGCTGGGGTGTTATTTAGTCTCCCAGATGTCCCTATTTGGGAAACTTACACTGGGAAGACATAGAGAAAGCACAACTTTATATACATAGAAACTTCCCATCCTGGCAGAAATTAAATGGTGATAGTAAAGGAGGCTTTCTATAACAGAATCTCAGGATTACCTATGGTCCTCAAATACTAGTGCTCAAGCCTTAATAAGCTTTTTGTGGCAACTCTTCTTTACCTTTTCATGTTACTGAAATTGAAGCTGAAATCGGTTGTAAAATATTTGAAGCATAAATAGTATCACATTTTAAAAGACTGAGTTAATAATAGCAAATCTTTACTTAAAATAAAATAAATATGTACTAAACAGTGTGTTTTGGAAATATTTTTAGCCCCATATATTTTGTAATACACATATTAATGCCTTGAAAACAGAATTTTAGAGAAGCATCTTATTATATCTGAATAACAAATAGAGGGTGTCCCAAAAGTCTTAGCACAGTTTAAAGCTTTAGAAGCATAAAAGCTATACCCTACATGTAATATTTTCCAAAACATTAGGAATTTTATAGTATTTTCTAAATTCTGTATTAATGGTCCAAATTTCATTGAGCTGAAATTTTTTGTGGAAATGTTTTAAAATTTTACTTTATGCCTTTTGTTTATATAAATTAGACCTTTAAGAAATGTGGCATTATCTTTGGAGTACTTGATTCCTCTGACTCCCCTTTAGCAAGTCTGATAAAGAATTTTCTAGAACTCATTTGGCTGTACTTGGAAGATTCTACAACAATCTTTCTACAAAGTTAGCCAGGGAACTGAAAGAAAACACATTTTCAATAATGCTAATAACGTACTATTAGAAGAAACCACTACTAATTTTTATTTCTCAAGCTTGTCAGACAAGTTAACATTCAGGAAATGATTGATTTTCATTGTGGGAAATGTTTATTCTTCAGTAATCAGCCAGCATAAATGCTTTCACAAATAAATCACTAATTAGGATTTCTCCAGACAATCTCCGAAGTATCAACTCTTGGGTGTTCTACATGGTGAGAGAGAAATGAATATGTAATTGATGAAACAAAACATGGTTTGAGATGAGCCATTCAATAAGCTTCTCAGAACTAATGATTACCTCAAAATCTGGGTGAAATTTGACAGGTACACAGAGAAGAAAAGGAAGAAAGTGTAAGATGAAACAGTCACCTTCCTCAAGTTACAGAGTTCTATCCAGGGCAGCCAGGAAACAGAACTGAAGTCTCTTTTGCAGTAGAAGGAAGGGTTTGAGATACCTGCTTTTGAATATTGCCTCCTTTTGCCAATACAAAGTTTTACATTTGCAGAGAAAATTCTTAGTATAATACAGGATTGGGAGCAGATAGAAGTACTGTATGTGCTGTGCCTGAACCACAGTACTGATACAGAAGGATTCAGTCCTTTCTCTTCCACACATGCTCATGGCCAGACCTAGATGAATCACTGATAACCATCACTCTCAGGTGTGTAACAAGAGCATTCTTCTTTCTGACACATTCAGATATAGTCAGTCCGCTTGTAACTAACCATATCCAGTAACCTCTGATATTCTAAGCTCTGTCTGGGCTCCTTAAACACACTCTAACTTTGTGGTGGCATAAGCAACATTGTATCGCCATAGACAACAAAGGCAAGAGTCAGAGTCTCTAGAGATTTGTTTCTGAAAACAAATAGGACGGCTATGTAAACATCTTTCCAGTGTGTTAAAGGGTACACAAAAATGCTTTTTGCTTGACCAATTGCCTTGCTCATTTGTTTTGGATGGTCTAGTATGGTTACTCCGACAGACTTAATTATGTACTTTAGCTTCCAGTTCAAGAATAATATAGCTCTATCTTTCCAAATTCAAATAAAATGAGCAAAATTAAGCCCTTCCCCTTCTAGCCTTCAACAGATATAAAAAAAACCAAAATGAAACAAAAACAAAACCTTATACTATGCCATATATGCTTTATGCACTTAAACTGATATTTTTTTGTGTAAAATATCCAGAACAAGTACATAAGGACTATAAATCAGAGGATATAATTTAGAAGTCGGGAAAAGGAAGCTTTGGTTCAGTATGCTTATTTAAATTTAACAAACATTTGAAGGCTTCTAATGTGTACAGAGCGAGTTAAATGTTGCACATGTAAAATGTTATATACAATCGTAACTATAATGTAAAAATACATAAGTGCATAATAGTACTATATGAAGTCTGAGGGAAGGAAAAGGTCACTACCAACTCTGTGTGTGTGTGTGTGTGTGTGTGTGTATGTGACACACAAAGTAGAAAGACTTCCTGGTGGAGGTGGCATTTGTGTTGAATTATAAAAAAAGGCAGGAATTCAAAAGGCAGAGGTTGCTGTGTACAAGGGAGAGCATTCTAAGCCTAGAGAAAAAGAATAAGCAAAGACACAGAGAAAAAAGGAACCTGTACAGTTGACAATTAGTAATATCTGTCAATAGTCCTGCCAGAACTGGTGTTAGACTATTGCTAGCACACATAAATCTAATTTACCTCCTAAAGAGTGTGAAAAAGGACTAATATTGTATCTAATATTGTCTACTTCTAGGTTTACTTCAAAACAATAATGCAGATATAACTCAGAAAACATCTGCAAGTCATGTGACAAAATTTAGTGTTTCTCGACCTTTGTGTAAACTAGACTGTATACAACTAGCTGATTCTCAAATGACCCTCACTTCAGCAACCAGTCATTTCCTGACTGTTAATATAAACTCAATTGCATTTTTGGTGGTGGTGTTTAGGACCTTCCAGATCCATTATTTTAAAGAAGGAATATATATCCATGATAGATAGGCAGAGGTTTCTGAATAATCTCCAAGCTACTGGCTTCTTTTACTTTTTATTCCAAAACATATGTTTGATCGATATTAATTAAGCCTCCAGTAAGTGTGAGGCATTATGGTAAGTTAGGGGTGGGGTGGCGGGGTGGGGGAGTGGCAGGAAGATACAAAGACAAAATTAAAGCTATTTCTTTGTAACCAAATAGCAAGGGGCCATGATTTCATCAACAGGTACACTCCCTCTTCTGGTGCAGACTACAACCCATCCATGTCTTTTAAGCCTATGGGATTGTTGTCCATATTTATCTGTAAATATTCCATTGAGTACCAGAGGCCTTCTCCTACATTAATGAATTCAAGGGCAATATCTGCTATCCAGTGGTCTCAATACATGACTATTCCACATCTTCTTCTGGTAATACAAACCCCTGACTGTCTATTATGAATTTTTTGGCACAAAAGCCTCATTAGTAATACACTGTAGCCTGTTGACTTACACCCACCATGTCTCCATTACACTTTGGTCACTTTGTTAGGTGATGTTGTTCATAATCTCCTACCATCCTACTCTGTAATATTTTGCAAATAAGCCTGTATATCCAACTGGTTTTGCCTCTGGCTGGTATTTCTCTCTGTGTAGGATACTAAGTGTTTATTGGTTATAGTGGTTTTTGAGCTCTTTTTGCATCCTCTCTGTGATGACTATTTCAAATAAATTAAACTTCCTGAGGTAGTGTGGTAGTATAGGTAATTCTTCCTAAGTTGCAATGAAAGTGCCAACCTGCATTGGTAGAGGAGATTTCCTTGTCTAAGGGTTCCATATATTAATGAAATGACAGGTCCAGTCTCTGGTCCTAAACTTCCCTAAGAAATAATGATCAGAATCAATGTCTTTACTTTCCTGGTTTTCTTTTTTTTTTTTTCTGAGTCAATAAGCCTATTTAAATAGGTTGGATCAGGACTATTATAACTGAACACAGTGTCTTTTCATTTTTATCCTTTCTTCTCGTTTAGTGTTTCTTGTCCTTTGTATAAATTAGACTGTATACAACTAGCTGATTCTGAAATGACCCTCACTTCACTAACCAGTCATTTCCTGACTGTTAATATAAACTCAATTGCATTTTTGGTGGCGGTGTTTAGGACCTTCCAGATCCATTATTTTAAAGAAGGAATATATATCCATGATAGATAGGCAGAGGTTTCTGAATAATCTCCAAGCTACTGGCTTCTTTTACTTTTAATTCCAAAACATATATTTGATCAATATTTATTAAGCCTCCAGTAAGTGTAAGGCACTTTGGTAAGTTAGGGGTGGGGTGGAGGTGGGGGAGTGGCAGGAAGATACAAAGACAAAAACAAAATGGTATTTGCCCTCAAAGAGTTTATATTTCTATTCAAATAACAAGGAATCTGAAAGGCTGTCATGAGGAAGGAATGCCAGGATGGTCTGGGTGAATATATGGATGCAGATGGTGGCTTTAAGAGTTCTGGGAATTATTAA